TTTCCAGTCAATTTACCTTTTTCTGATATCTTTGTACAGTATTTCTTTCCATCGTGACTTGAATGTTCATATCCTTCATGGCTCCAATAGTGGCAGCTCTATTTCTGTCCTTGTTAAGTCCCCCCCGGTGTCCACTTTCATGAGCCATGATTCATCAAGATTTATCCTGCGTACACAGCGCCCAAGCTTGTCATATTCACCATCACACAGCAATTGTGAATTGATCCTTATTAATGTCAGTGTCACTCATATGTGAGGTGCGAGCAGCACAGGAGATGTGAGGAAGGTGTGAAAGGTCACAATCCTGGAATGGCTTGTGTATGGAAAGTGAAAGAAGAGATGTTTTGGAAGTGTTGTGAATATTGTAGGTCAGGAGTGAGGGAATCCCTAGAGAGCCAGCTTGCACTTTATACATTATCATTATTTGCATTGTTTAACCCATTTGTCAGGGTCATCATCAGTTGTCACTTTGGCTGGCAAGTTTGTATCTTTGCTTAGATACTTTTCTGCATGCTATCAATGCAGGGACTGAAACATGAACTTTGAATCAGTATTATTTATTTTAAGTCCGTTACTTTGGCCACTCAGTCCTCTCCTCTTCTGTTGTTGCTTTTCTTTCCATGATTCCCAATTTCCCTGTCCTCCATGCCAGAACCCAAAGTAGAAAGCCCTGTGTTGCTCTTTGTTGTTGTTTATGCATGGTTAAGAGCCTTCCCCATTTAACAATTTTAGGCCTGGCAATTGGCTGCTCAGGTGAAAACACTATATCGTGGGAGGATGGGGATTAGGTCGTTTGTTACCCCATTTTTTAGAAGTACATAGTATTTGGTACTACTTCAGAAGGGTGGCAACGTTAACCATCAGTCTATGGCAGTTGGTATCTATAGAAACTGTTAATTTGCCCAGGGAGGGCAAAGTGAAAGCTTTGATTGAAATACATCTGAAGTTTCATAAATGATAAGGTATGATCAGGAATGAATAAACTAAAAGCTAGATTTTGTGTACTTAAAATTGCATCTGAAGTTGCATCTAATGTATTTTTAGGGCACTGTCTTAATAGTTACAATTCAAGTAGTGCGATTTGAAAAACGGTTCCTGTATTACTTATTCACCACTTGTGTGATTGAACGATCATAGACTATAAGATAAATGGCACTAAAATCGCACATGTGTCTGTATCAGCGCTTTTTTGAAGTTGCACTTTAACCACTTGCCCTCTAGAGGATCTACCCCCCCCCCCCTTCCTGCTTCCTGACCAGGCCATTTTTTGTGTTACGATGCTGCGTTACTTTAACTGACAATTGCGTGGTCATGCAATGCTGCAAATTAAATTTACGGCCTTTTTTCCCCACAAATAGAGCTTTCTTTCAGTGGTATTTGATTGCCTGTGCATTTTATTTTTTGTGCTATAAACCAAAAATAGACTGACAATTTTGAGAAAAAAACTATTTTTGACGTTTTGCCAATAAACATGTCCACTAAAAAATTTAGAAAAATCAAATTTCGTCATAAATGTAGGGCAAAATGTATTCTGATACATGTCTTTGCTAAAAAAAAAAAAAAAATCCCAATATGTGTAAATTAATTGGTTTACACGAAAGTTGTAGTGTTTACAAATGGCAGTATATATGCTGGAATGTTTTATTTTATGCTAGTATTGCCGATCAGCGACTTATAGCGGGACAGCGGTGGGCATTCTGACACCTTCCCTGCACCTAGCAGTCTGGACTCTGGTATTGATTAAACAAAGTTAAAGCTTATCACCTAAACCTAATTACAGCAAACAGAAGTTGATGCCAGAAAACCTGTAACAGAAAAAGTTTCTTAACCCCACATATTTTGGAATCCCCCTGCACATAACACATCACTCCAGGATAATAGTTCCGCTAAGCACAGTATGCCAAGGGGTCCCAGAAACAGTCCCTCCAGCCCTAATTGCAGGGAAAGGGTAGCTGGTCTAATTCACGGCTGGCCAGGTAGACCTCTTGGGGGGGAAAAAAGGTTCCTAGTAACACCAAGAGTGGGATCTCCTTAGTCCTGGGCCTATAGTCGGTGGGAAGTAGGCTGGACCCCAGGCCCCTCCAGGAGCCCAAGTCATGGCAGTTTTCATGACAGACTCCATCTTATACCTCCTACAATTTGGTGATTGTTGGGAAAACAGTAGATGATAGTTTGTCCTCTCAGGCCTTAATTGACAGATAAGAGGGTAAATTTGACAAATTAGTTTCTTTATAACCTTTAAATAATTCCTATTAATGTTCTCCACCATCACTGCATGTTTACTTATAGTCTGCTCAGTACATTGTTTTTTCTATTCCTCCTCTCAGTAAAATGGTGATGCCAACATCTACAGTCTGGAAACATTTCCACAGTGCAATTTCTGCTTAGAGCAGAGCTGCAATGTGCAAGTATTGTGAGAAGAAATCCAGGCATGCCAGAGGTGTCCTAAATGGCATTAGCATATACTTTATTGAATGAAATGATGAGGACCATAATGAAAGTATGAGTAGCTTTTCCCTCCAGACTTCTCATTCCCCAAAACTTTCTGCTGCTTCTCGATCATGACATAGTGTTTCTTCAGCATCTGCAAGTGAGGAAGTGTTACAAACCATGGCCTTACAAAAATACACCATCCCTTCCTTAACCACTTGCCTACCAGGCACTTATACCCCCTTATTTACCAGGCCAGTTTTCAGCTTTCAGCGCTGCCGCACTTTGATTGACAATTGCGTGGTCATGCAACATTGTACCCATATGACATTTTGATCATTTTTTTCTCACAAATAGAGCTTTCTTTTGGTGGTATTTAAATCGCCACTGGGCACTTTACTTTTTGCGCTATAAATAAAAAAGGTGCAAAAAATTTGAAAAAAAAAAAAAAAGTTTCTTTGTTTCTATTATAAAATTTTTCAAACAGGTATTTTTCTCCTTCACTGATGTGCGTTGATGAGGCGGCACTGATGGGCACTGATAGGCAGCACTAAAGGGCACTGATAGGCAGTACTAATGAGGTGGCACGGATAGGCGGCACTAATATGCAGCACTGATAGGCGGCACTGATAGGTGACACTGATGATGGGTACTGATAGACTGCACTGACTGGCATCACTGCTGGGCACTGACTGGCGGCACTGACTGGCACAACTGCTGGGCACTGACTGGTGGCACTGACTGGCAGCACTGCTGGGCTGCACTGGTGGGTGGCACTTGTGGGCTGCACTGGTGGGTGGGCACAGGTGGGTGGCACTGGTGGGCACAGGTGGGTGGCACTGGTGGGCACAGGTGGGTGGCACTGGTGGGCACAGGTGGGTGGGCACAGGTGGGTGGCACTTCTGGGCACAGGTAGGTGGCACTTCTGGGCACAGGTGTGTGACACTGCAGAGTGGCACAGGTGGGTGCACTGCTGGGCACAGGTGGGTGCACTGCTGGGCACAGGTGGGCGGAGTTAGTGGGCACAGGTGGGCGGAACTTGCGGGTGGCACTGCTGGGCACCAATCATCAGGGCACTGATCATCAGTGCCCTGATGATCGGTGCCGATCCTCGCTCTGACCACTGCCGGTTCTCGGCAGTACTTTCCTCACGATCTGACAGCGTGAGGAAAGTGCAACCGAGAACCGGCACTTGCATTTCCCTGTGATCAGCGTGTCATTGGACACCGCTGATCACGTGGTAAAAGGCCGCTGTGATTGGCCTTTTACCACATCACGTGTTCAGCTGTGTCCGTAGGACACAGCGATCACGGAGATCGCCGGGTGTGCGCCCCCTGGGGCGTGCAGGAGAGCGCGTTCTGGTGGGACGTCATATGACGTCCACCCAGAACTGGCCGGCTGCAGTGCAGCCGTCATTCGGCTATCTGTGGTCGGCTACTAGTTAATAGATAAAGTGACACATAAAAATCGTGAGAACATTGATTAAGCTTTTGCAGGAGCACTATAAGCTTCTGGATCAGCATGGTCATAAACTGAAAATGAATATTAGCAGGAAGCTTATAAATTATGAGGGAAAGGGGGTGGTCACCTGTTCTCATGTATAGGTGAAATGTTCTTAACATATACAGTGCTTGTTCTATTTGTAAGCTGTATTTTTATTTCAAGCATAATACTTTATACTAACACACTGTATTTCACATTCCCAGTGTAACAAATTGACTTTTGATTTGTAAAACCTCTCCACACCTACAATTTTTTTTTTTTCTAAAATTTCCATTTTTTTCCGGAAAAAATATTTTAGGTTTCTTTTTTTCCTTATGGCTTCAACAGTTTCGGAGATTTTACATCTCTGGTTATGACAGGGGGACACCCCACCATAATACACTGAACTTGCCAAATTTCGATACAGGGCTTACCATAGTCTGTGTGCTGAAAAAATTATAAAACATTTCTATAAATACAAATTGGTACTCGTATCAAGTGCATTTTCATTTTTCACTGTTTTTAATCTTCCAACTTAGTCCCCCTTCTTCCACCCTGTTTGTGAAATCCCTTTGAGAAGAGAGTACATTTTTGACCATTAATGGAACTATGCTGCTGCTGCTCATTTTTTCTTCAACACAAAAAAAATCTACAATATCTCGGGCCAAACCTTTTCGTATGAAGTTCAAAGACGTGTTCAGCATATGTTAATAAATCCGTCTGGACGATAATGCCGGACTTTCTCTCTCTGAAAGTTGGACTATTAAGACATATCTGTATACACTCATCTGCCAGCAGCCCCTCTCTCTCTCTCTCTCTCTCTCTCTCTCATGCAAGGAACTGTCTGCTTAGCTGGTGAAATACTTATTTGTGTGGTTGATTAATCAAGTGAATTAAACTGTAGGAAGAGTTTCCTTATGAACTGTTGAGGCTGTGTACCTGCAGCACTGGCCAGGCTCTCTACAGCTTGTATGAATGGGCGGGCCTTGCCTTCACTTTAAATAAGGGCATGGAATGTGCTCCACTTCCATGTGTAAGTAGATCACTTTCCCTGGACTCCATTAAGCAACATCTCTTCTGTTTGACAGACAAGCTGATAGAAGACGAGCATCTGACTAAAGCCGAGCAGGAAATCCAGAGCCTGAAAGGTAAGATGTGTGGTCACTGTGAGTATAGATGTTTGTAAAGGACAGTATCCTTCAATTTGGTGAGCTCAGATGGAGACCAAGACTGTCTGTCTAATTATCTCATTGTTCAGTTACAGTGTTCCTAAGCTGTCACAGAATGTCTCAAATACATTTATTTTTCAGGTTGTTTCACAGAGTAACCTTTTCAATGTTCTGCTGTGCTTATTTTTTGGTAAATTGTGCAGGTAGATGTTAGTGATTTAAACTGAGAATGTTTTTTGTGTTTTTAGCAGTATTTGAGGTTGTGCAGCACATTCAAATAGGGTTATTCAACAAAAGGGAAGAAGATACATTTGTTCCTCATAACAGCCAAATAAATTGCACCTGTCATATTTCTTGTGCTGTTTAGAAAGCTAATGGCCCCAAATCAGTAGCTTTGGGCACCCTATTTTTTCTTCCTCTTGTTAGTATAGCGTGTATTAACTCCTTTGCGACCGCAATACTACTTCAAAAGTCTAAATCTAAAATACCACTTGCCATGAGAATGTAAATTTAACCTTATAGCAGAGAACTAGAAATGTGCAACTGTCTGTATCTAGTTCAGAGCCACTGTAAATCAGAAAAATGAGTCCGTTATTGGGTTAACTGCATAACAACATAAAACATAGCAGCATGACAAGAACAACACTGCTCACAAAGAGTGATTATTAGAAACTGCATAACAATGTTGCTAAACTTAGTCTGGGTGTCTAAGCATCAAAAAATGCAGGTCACAAAAGGGTTAAACTTAATGTTCTGAACTTAAGATGTGGCGACTGTTTATTGCCATTGTAAGATGACCAAATGGAAATTAAGGTTTGCAGATATTTGTTTGGTTCCTAATTTGCACTTTTTGGTACTGGTATGATTTTGTTCAGTCGTGCAGACAGGGACAGTAAAACAGGTGGTTGGCAGCATTATATACAGTAGGGAGGTACTAGAATGTCTGTCAGCTTTTTACTTGCAGTTTGTATTTTTGCTAGTTAGATTCACCCTCCTTGTCCTGGTGACAATCGCCACTAATATGAGTGAGTGATTGGAAACTGTAGACAGCTGTCTGCAATGAAAATATACCTCTTGTAGACACTTACTGCTGAATATTTGCGACAGATAGTAAAGGGAAATCTCCCTAATGGGACACAAACAGCAAGAAGAGGAAGTGATGGGTTATAACTCTGCCCTTTTCTAGCAAACACAAAAATAACCAAAAGGTTTACTGCATACTTTTATATTGTTACTAATTTAGGTTAAAACTCCATATAGGATGTGGTTGTCAATGGGATTACTGCACACAGGGCAACTGTGTAAATGCTTTTCGACCTTATTAATGTCTATTATGTTCATCATTGAGCTTTCAGAATAAAAAGTAAAATGTGTGTGGATAGATGTCTCATTGCAGTGTGATCAGATTATATTCAATTCCAGTGGGCTCCCAACAATTTCACAGCACATGGACCAGATTATTGGTACATTTATCTTGTATACTTGGGAGTTCTGGGTTCAGTTTCAACCTCCTGGTTTCTTCAGTTTCCCTCTTGCAATTCTAAAACATATAGTTTGACATTCTGTACACCCAAAGTTAAAACCAACTGTATGTCCATATGACTGCCAACAAAAGTGTCTGCTGTACTGCCGTTGTAACAAATTTGTCTGAGCTAGGTCAGCCTGCACAGGTTCTTCCCAAGTACTTCCCAGTTTTGAGCTCCAGATTATTTAAATTGACATTGAAATCAAAAAAATAAATTTCAAGTGGCTCAATTGTGGTTGGTTTCTACCAGTTTGTCCTGATTTGTGAACTAAGCTGTAATTGAGCTGTATTGGCTCTTTAACATATAATATAGAAAAGTGAGCTTACATGGAGAGTTGGGCCTGCAGCCAGATAAGCACTGCTACATGAGTCGAGTTATCATCTTCCTCCAACTGGGATGTCCATTAAGCTTGAGACTGTGCAGTTGCAGCACAATCCCTGAAAATAGCATCACACATGCTGCTGTTTTATAGATGTCCCATATGTTGGGTAGATTGTCGGTGTTAATTGACGAGATGTACCCTCATGACCAGCTTGTGCTGGCACACAATGGAGAGAGCTGCTGGGCAGGCACATAGTGTGAGTTCTGGCAGTGAGCTACATGATGTGTCACCCTGGCTGCTTTTCACTCCTCCTTAACAAAACTCATTCCGATGTGTTTGGGTTACTGGACTTTTCCCTTACATGGTGTTGCATGATATACTTGTGTGCAGAGCTGATAAGCTGACTTGTTTATACTGCCTTTCTTTGCCAGTGCTATCTCTGTTGTGTAGTAGAGGGTCTCCTGGGTAGTCTATTTCCATTGTGTGTTTTTTCCGGTCTCTGTTTCTTAAATTGTCTGTACCTAAGTTAATCAGGTTGTGCTGTTCTGGATTTGTGCCTTCCAAAGGGCTGTATATGTTGTCTATTGCTTTTCTTTTGTCTGGATAATTCATGTTTCTGTTAGCAGTGCTTGTTAAATCTCAAGAGCTTCGGTACATGTTTCCATCAATGCAGTTTTTACCTTAATGTGAATGTCTGGGCCAAAAAAACTAAACAAAATACATAATCTGTACATGTCTAGAATACTTGCACATTTTCCCATGTTTTTTTATCTCTTTAAAGGAGAAAGGCGGAAATACAAGAAAACAAACCTACATACTCACCTTCCTGCTGCAGCATCAGTCTGATGCTGCAGAAATCCCCCGACAGCTCATGACCACCAATCGCTCAGTTCTCTGTCCGCTCTGTGCAGAAAGCAGTATCTGTCAGTCACCACTTTTTGCTGTGTTGCTCCAGCGCTTACTGGAGCACCAGGCTGGAGAAGGAGCTGGAGTGGCTGTCTCAGGCTTAGCGTCTCGCTGAGAGGGTGAGTCGGTTATTGATCAGGTATCTAGGAGGATCCCAACGTTCTTGTCCGTATCCTTCCAGCGCGTGAAGCTGCTCAGTGACTTTGGCTTTAGCCCACTTTCGGCTGATTCTAGATCACAGGAGGGCACAAGTAAGTGCACTCCTGTGACCTACAAGAGAAGTATGACCAAAAATGCTTTGGCCTTACTACTCTTTAAAAACTGCCTACTATTTCTTCTGTGAAACATCTAGTGTGCGTTTAACTTTCTTTTTGAAATGACAATGCTGCTTCTGCTGCACTGAAATCTCAAACAGTGTTGTCAGCCCTCCCCAATTATGCCGGTGCTTCTCTCCCTCCCCTCATTGGCCCCCACGTCACCAGAACTAGTCCCTTTGAAAGTTTTCCCCTCATTACTTTTCTGGGGTCATCTCAAAGTTTGGGATTTTCTTCTTGATAATGGTCAACAGGACTAAGAGAGGGTGAATCTCCCTATCCAGGAGCGCAGACTATGTTAAAAATCTGAATTGTGTTCTAATCCATCTCCACTCTATCCAAACTAAAAAAAAAAAAAAAAAAAAAAAAAGTTTTGCCTTTTAGTTATACTTTAAGAGATCCCAAAATTTTTGGAAAGCTTAACAGGTATTTTTCTGTACTTTCAGTATAAAACATGGGGAAATGTGCATGTATTTGTGTTTTTTTTTTTTTTTTTTTTTTTTTTTTTTTTGCATTTTTGTTTAGTCATATGCTTTAAAGGAAATGAAACCCAAGAAAATAATATATTGCTGCCTTACAGTGTGGTGGCTGCATTCAGTTTCTGTTTTTCAGGCTAACATTTTGATCTTGTCAGAAATGCAATGTCATTGTTACTTCCATTGAACTGAACAGAAAGCAAAACAAAAAATGGGGCACTATTCCTCCTACTGACGCCAGTGAAGGGGCACTATTCCTTCCCATGATACTGACAATGGGGTAATATCCCCCCCTCAATAATACCAGTGGTGGGGCACTCTTTACTCCCATTGTCGCCAGGGCATTTTTTACTCACTTGGACACAGTGCAGCCCCCTTAAAGTTTGAATGACAATAAACCAGGCCCTTTGTTTAGGAAGTTTAGAGACCTCTGCCCTATGTAACAAATAAACAAAAGCAGATATGTGTAGACTAGCCTGGGTTGCTACTATGGCTCCCCCCATAGCTACATTAGAGGAGTGAGCATTGTCCCTCAGGGACACAGTAGTAATTGCAGAGGGGGGGGGGGGGGGGGGGGCGACGACAAACTGTCACTTCATCTAAGAACTTGTAACCTGGCAATAATTTCTTGTGCTTTAAATTTGAAGATAAAGTTCAAATGTCAAAAGTTCCCATGGCAGGTCCTTCCACAGAGTTGTAGACCTGTGGCTGTAGGAGAAATATTATTAGATAGCCTATTGCAAATGTATTGCAGGAGACAACAATAGTGTTCCGCCAGGAATATCCAACAAAGTCAAGCCATTCTTCCCCTGAGAAGGGTCCGTCAGTGAATATCAGGCAAGGGTTTAGTGGACATAAGATGGTTGCCCAATGTGAGTGAAATTTTGCAAAGTTGCTTCAATGTCTGTACAATTACCTTATACTATGACATTATACATAACCTTATTAAAAAAAAAAAAAAAACCAGTATGATCCTGCTTGCAAAAGTAGAGTTTACAGAAACTACAGCACATTAAATTGACTAAGTAAGCACTTGATGTAAAAGATACTCTGTTCTCACCTTTTTCGGAGGCCCATGTTTTAAGACTGTACTGCTTTGCTAATCCCTCAGCCACTATATGTATCTGACACCTCCAGGTGTGTGAAATGCCTCCCTTTAGGAGGATCCCAGCAAGTGCTGGGTTGCTAGAAAGGTAAGTATATAGCTTCTGCGTGATCTTAGTTTATTATTAAGTGGCTTTTCAGATTATTGCTGCATTTAAAGTATCTGCTTACTGAAAATACAGTATTCTTTCTCTTTCATGCATTGTTTCCAAACTTTGTCCAGGAGATAAGATCCTTATTTGGTCAGGATTGTTAACTATAACTGATTACATAAGCTTACAAGTATTATGTTTCAGAATGGTGCAAATTTTTTAGGATGTGTGTCAATGTGCTTTGTATGGCTCGATGAGTAACCTCTGCAATCATAGCAGGGAAAATCCACATAGATGTTCTGATGAGGAGTTCACTCAAGTGGGAGAGTCCGCTCTGTACAGATTCCCGTTTTAGAAATATATGAATTGTGATCTAGTATCTTTTCTTGTGTGTAATGAGTGCCTCCCTCATAGGCAGTTAGTGATAGAAATAACTCCACACATACTGTCTCTTGCCTAATTAAAACATTTTACCACCTTTTATCAGCTTGAGCTTGATTTATGATGTGGTTGGCATCCACAACAGTGGATAGAGAAGTCCAGTTTTAATGTAACCTGTAATCTGTACTATTTAAAAGAAAAAAACAAAACCTGAAATTGTTGAACGGGAAAAAAAAAATAAAACTTGCAATAACACGGTTGCATAAATATGCACACCCTTAATCTAATACTTTGTTGAAGCACCTTCTGATTTTATGATAGCATCCAGTCATTTGGGGTAGTAGTCTGTAAGCATGGCATATCTTGCCTTTAGAATCTTTGCCCACTCTTCTTTGCAAAAGCACTCCAAATCTGTCAGATTGCAAGGGCATCTTCTCTGCACAGCCCTTTTTAGGTCACCCCACAGATTTTCAATTGGATTCAGGTGCTGACTCTGGCTGGGCAACTCCAAAACTTTGATCGTTTTCTGGTTAATCCATTCTTCTGTCGATTTGGAGGTATGGTTTGGTTGGTCGTCATGCTGAAATATGAAATTCCTCTTCATGGTTGTCAGGAATGGCATGCCAATAGACAATATGACTCTTCTGGACTGCCTTCTGTGCCCAGGCTAATACATGTTCCCTCTCTTGCTCGCAGACTCTATGCTTATGCGCAATCGCATTGGTGCTCGTACCCGTGCACATCAACACTCATGTGCATGTGTGACAGATGCTGGTGCCAAACGGGCTTTTTAAACTAGCCCAGTGCTCAGGATCAGTGCTGCTTTGTCTTCAGCCTACTTTGTATTCTGTGTCCTGATTCCAGTTGCTGATCCGGATTGTCTCTCCCTGCTCTGAAATATCCTACTAGAATAGCTGAATTTTATATGGGTTTAATCAGAGTCGCTTTAAATAATGGCTGGTGTGTATTGATTGCTAATTAACATCAATGAGCCAATATAGTCTAATCCATGCTCAGGTGCCACATCCCCAATGTATGTAAAATGGTAAAGTAATTTGGTTTGGAATTTTTTTGGGCACCAATCATAACACAAGATAAAAGTATAAATCATTTATTAATTTACAATCATAAAACATGATCTGTAAAAACAACCAATTGGTGACCAAACATTGTACAAAGACTATCGTTAATACATATGTAGTTATAATAGCTGCAGGTTTGTGAATAAGCCCCAACATGTTTCAATTCAAAAATCTTTATCGGGGGAGACAACGGTCAATATATTTGTTTTTACTGATTGTGCTTTTAAAATCAGCTTGAATGTGATTGGTTAGTTTTGAACACAGTCACATTTCTTTTTTTTCTCTCCCCCACTGTACAATTTTAATTTTTAATTGAATAGTACAGATTATAGGTCTCATTAAAGGTGGAACAAATGTATCTTGGTTGGTATTTTTACATCTCAAAACCTGCATTGTTACAGGGTTGTGTAGACTTTTTATATCCACTGTAGCAGAGATTAGGTGCGCTGCATAGCATGGATCAAGCCTTCGTTCTCTTATGATAAAATGTCAGAAAAAGTGTCTGACTGAAATGACTGTAAGGAAAGATAGATGACTGACAAGTTTATTTTTTTACTATTCTTCCTGTCGTAATGTTCAAAATACGTTTGTATCCTTAAAGCTTTTTAGTCCAATCTAGAGGTTTTTAGCAATAAAAGAAAGTTTAGTAGGTAGTTTTCAGTAATCCTCTTCAAGGAAACCATTCGTGAAAGAAATACAGGGACTGCCATTGCTGATCTTCTGAAAATGTTAGATGCCTGGCTCGCTCAGATGTCAGTACTTACACCCTGTTCCAAATTATTATGAAAATAATATTTTTCTCATTTAACTAAATAATTGATGTAAATAAGTCAGCATTATTCTCATGTTATCAACTATTAAGAGTACAATTCAAATTTTGTTTCACACACTTCCTAATGATAACAGTATTTTTTTTTTTTTTTTAAATAATAAACTTACAATGCACTGTTCCAAATTATTACGCACAGTAAGTTTCAAAACACTTTATAGGTTGTAAAGAACTGAAAATTGTCATTTGTTGTGTTTGCAGCATATTTACTGAAATAAAAAGCTATTTCAATCAAACGTTTAACAACATTTTAACTTTTTAAACATTTTAACAGGTCACGTTACATTTTAACATAGGACCCCTTATTTGATAGCAGCTTCACAAGTCTTGCATCTATTGAACTTGTGAGTTTTTGGACAGTTTCTGCTTGAATTTGTTTGCCAGATGTCAGAATAGCCTCCCAGAGCTGCTGTTTGGATGTAAACTGCCTCCCACCCTCATAGATCTTTTGCTTGAGGATGCTCCAAAGGTTCTCAATAGGATTGAGGTCAGGGGAGGATGGAGGCCACACCATGACTTTCTCTCCTTTTATCCCCATAGCAGCCATTGATGCAGAGGTATTCTTTGCAGCGTGAGATGGTGCATTGTCATGCATGAAGATGATTTTATTATGGAAAGCATAGTTCTTCCTTCTGTACCAGGGAAGAACTAGGTCATCTTTACACCTTCGGGGACCCTAAAGGGGCCGACCAGCTCTGTTCCCACGATTCCAGTCCAAGACATGACTCCACCACTGCCTTGCTGATGTCACAGCCTTGTTGGAACAGGGTGGCCGTCCATCAACCATCCACTACTCCATCCATCTGGACCATCCAGGGTTGCACGGCACTCATCAGTGAACAGGACTGTTTGAAAATTAGTCTTCATGTATTTTTCTGCCCAATGCAGCCGTTTCTGCTTGTGAGCATTGGTTAGTGGTGGCTGAATAGAAGGTTTATGCACAGTTGCAAGACTCTGGAGGACTCTACACCTTGATGTCTTTGGGACTCCAGAGGCACCAGCAGCTTCAAATATCTGTTTGCTGCTATGTAATGGTATTTTAGCAGCTGCTCTCTTGATCCAATGCATGGATCTGGCAGAAATCTTCCTCAATGTGCCTTTATCTGCACAAACCCGTCTGTGCTCTGAATCAGCCACAAATCTCTTAATAGTGCGATGATCACGCTTAAATATCTAATGTTTTCATACCTCGTCCAAGGTATTAAACTATTTCACTCTTTTCGGCAGCAGAGAGATCCTTTTTCTTCCCCATATTGCTTGAAAATGGTGCTCTGCTTAATAATGTGGAACACCCTCCTTTAGTAGTTTTTCCTTAAATTGGGCTCACCTGCCAATCTAATTATCACAGGTGTCCGAGATTGTTTTCAGTGATCAAAAGAGCCCTGAGGCACAATGCCATCCATGAGTTAAACTGAAAAACAAAATATTTCATCTTTGTGACACTTAAATAGAATTTGCATAATTTGGAACAGGGTGTATACCACAGTACAAGACGCTGACCTTGTACAAGTATGCAGTTCAGATAAGCAAGGTGAAGTCAGAATTCCAATTCTGCATATTTTGTTAGGTGTCTTGTTTGCACTGTGCCGATACTATTAGATCATCATGACGCTACGAAAATGAGCAATTGCAGTCTCCATGATTGGTTTCTACATGTTCCAGTATAAAGATTCCTAATTTGTCAAATTACGTCCATTAACTGCTGCTTATTGTCTACCAGTCAAATTCTTACATTTGCTAGTTAATTGTTATGAGGGCAGCAAAGATGTTCCAGCAATTTACTAAATGGGCTATACATAGTTCCTAGACTCATTAGGACAGTGTATAAAGAATTTTGTTCACACCACATCTGCTTTTCTCTCTATATAAGTAAGTGGGAATACAAAAGCAGTTTAGGAGATCAACTGCAGGTCAGACACACATGGGGGATAACTGATCTCAGAAGTATGAAAGCTATAGCAAACCCTCACCTTGTAAACCAACCCATTCAGTTTAAAATAGAGATTAAGGGTAAAACGTGTGTATGAATATTAAAATAAATATTTATTTAGTATACCCCCCCCCTTTTTTTTTATAAGTGATCTGTTAACAGTGCATTGCAACAGTATGTATCCCCCCATTACTTTCTGTACATACAACAATGGTCACTAGGACAAATACATTTAATCTTCACAATTCTCAGCATGGGCTCAGACTGGCCTACAATCAGGAAGGCCCTAGTATGAGTAGGTCATAAATGTCTTAGAAGTGAATGTATGTGACAGTTGAAGCAAAGATTTGCATACATGAGTAGAGAATCTAGAATGTATTGTTGCTGTTATATCCCAGCCTTATAGTGTGCCAAACTCTTAGTAATCATAACAGATGTGACCCTATGCATTATCCCACCTGGAAATTGGCTAAGCCTGAGGCAGGTACAGGAAGCTCAGGCATTGCATTGTGGGATTGAGAAGGTAAATTGGTTGTGACATAGAAATATATTGATAATAAAAACTGTGATCACTTATTGTAAAACACCCATATATAAAACTGAGTTTACTGTTTCTTATCTGTGACTTTTGTAGGGAGTCCGGTAGACGTGAGAGATTCAGACTTATCAGATACACTCAGTCCTAGCAAGGACAAAAGCAGTGACGACACTACAGGTATAAGTGTGTCAGTGTAATAAGCACACAGCTGTTACATTATGTGGTCTAGTTGTGGAAGCACATCTGGATGACAGTCATTTTGTATGTTTACATGTGTATATTTGCTTTTGAGTCAAAGACCCCAAATCACAAAACTCTAATCATGAGTATTATGCATGATAATGATTCGATGGGCCTAAATCAAAGCTTCAGTGCTGTGTTATTCAGATGTGCTGCATTTGATGAATGATGGAATCAAGCAGTGGCATATATTGTGATTATTGCACTTGTATTTTGTGTTAGAGACAGGAGACCTGTACTTGTGCTTATACCTTTTCCCTTTGCAAGAACTGTTTACATTCCTATGGTATTTTTGGTCAGAAATCAAAGCATGGAAGATTCTTCCATAAAAGGAAGTGATATAATTTCCTGTTCCAAACAAAATTCAATGGACCATTTATTAAATACTTTTTTTTTCCAAATCCCTAAATTACTAGCTCTATTGGAATATTTTTTAGAAGTAAAGACATTGCTCACATCAACCAACCAGGTTGTGCCTACCTTTTTACTAGCATGTTATTGTAAAGTAGAGAGGCTGGTTGCTGTGGGCAGCACATACACTTTTTCTGTCCAGCACCCATATGGATTCCTCCTGGCTCCTTTAATATATCTGCCTGTCATCGCATTTAGATTGTAAGCCCTTTGGGCAGGGAACTCCATGTTGTGCTGTTGTGACTTCTATTTGATATTGTGTTATGCTCTTTGTTGTTGCTTGTAAATTTGTAAAGTGGTGTGTAACCTGGAGGCTTATTATATGATGCATATTGTATGTGCGTGTATGTGTGTGTGTGATGTGTGTGTGTATATATGTGTGTATATAATATATATATATGTATGTGTGTGTGTGTGTGTGTGTATACACACAGTACACAAACTGGTTCTGCACTAATCACATTCCTCTTATTTTTTTTACAGACGGCCAAATGGATGAGCAAGAGCTGAATGAGTCACTTAATAAAGTTACCATACTCAAAGGTAGACATCCTGCTTGCAGTTTCTTCTACATAGAAATTGTCCTAAAGGAAAAATGTTGTGTGTCTCCTAACAACCTGTCAAAATACTTGATTTCGTTTTGGCCCTCATTGTAAAAATGACAGTTGGGCTAAAGTTGTTGTCCTTCCCTGTAAAAAAAAAATCACTTTTTTTTTCCTGTATTATGCCACAGTATTTAAAGGATTAGGTAAAATGATTTTCTGTTAGTGATGGTTTTATGGAAGGCACTAATTGGTTGGTGGGAAACACGAGCTGTTTTCCATTTACCTCATACTTGTGTTAAGAATTTATTCTTGGCACACTATTTAAAGTGTACACATTGAATGTTAGACCCTAGAATTGCATAATTCCTGTTTAAGTGCCAGCAATGCACATGGTTGTGGCTTGACAACACACTTGGATTTAGTGGTGTCAGCTCTGCCCAGTTGTGTTTTTTTTTTTTTTTTTTTTTTTTTTTTTTGCTAAACTACTCTAAACTACCCCCTATCATATTCTGCAAAGACCAATCATTCTCTAGTCTCAAGATAACAAATAGGAGAGCTGATTAGATTCCAGGGGATAACACTAGATGTGTGCACATGACGGACAGCTGAGGACTCCTAACATGAGCAAGTTATTTTTTGTTCTTTCTGAACGATAAAGCAAAACACTTTCAGTGGTATATTTAAAAAAAACAAAAGTAAGCAAATAAAATGTATCCTTTCTTTACATACACTTTTTAAAACTTTATTTCGGTCAAATATGTAATGGTTAAATTTATTTTTGTTTGTTTTTTTTTGTTCTGTCCATATTAACGAGGAGCTTCATCCCCCCCCCTGTAGATTTTTTTTTCTAATTTCCCCTCTTCGTCTTTGCTGGATTGCCCTCAAAATACTTACTGGCATGCTCAGCAAATCCAGAGTTGTCCTCTTGTGATCTGGTAATCCTCTGCTTCTCTCTGTGTCCCACACTGCTAACTTTCTCCTTAAAGTCATCAGGAGCCAGATGTCTCTTCCTGATTTAGGCAGCCGGCCCCCTGATTACTCACTTTAATAGTTCCAGCCTCCTCCGTCCTCTGTGTTGAAGCTGACTCCTGGGATGCATGACGTGCATATCTCAGGAGTAGAGATATTGGGGTGGGGGGAATGTAGGAATGAAAAGTATTTTGTATGAGAGAAGCTTTAAAGTAGTATTAAACCCAAACACACAAATGTCTTATATTGCAGATTACCATTCCTTAGATGTGGTGGCTGTATTAGTTTCCTTCTTTTGGAGAGGGCTTTTTCCCCTCTGTTTTCACCTTGTGATCTGGTCAGTAACATACCTCTTGGATTAGAGTGCCCGCACTCTGGATGAAGGGGCACCTTTAGACAGCAGTATTGTCTGGGTGGAGGGGAATGTTAGGTGGACTAGCAGTTTAGAGCCAAACTCCAGCTCACAGTGCAGTTACACAAGCAGTTACAGCAGCATTTTTTTTTTCTTTTGGGATAAAGGTTTTACATGCATAAAAGCTGGTCATTTTAAGCATCCCTGTCAGTGGTAAGTGATTTTGTCTCAACCCTATAACTGCTACATTTGTAGGAGAGCTTGTTCTGTTGAAAAAAAGACTTACTGGTTGGATCACTAGATGGAAATAAATAATGCAGCCACCACATCGAAGAACTGGTAAGTTGCAATATGAGAAATGTTTGCTTTTGGGTTTAATTCTGCTTTAAGGAGATTGCCCATTACCTTCAACCTTGAAACATAACAGGATGTGTGAGATCTCTGCCAAGTAAGGGAAATTCCCTCTTACAGTTAACAATGGTAAGTATCCCCTTTGGAACATGTGCCCCCTGCTTTCCAATTCTAGTAACAACTCAAATTTCCCTCACTCTGTCCTGGTAACAATGGCCACCAGGACAAATTGCATAAGTGAATGAGTCTTCTTAATGGGGACACAGACTGCAGTAAAACAAAGGGTCTAACCACAGTTCCATTAGAACTGACTTCCAGAAAACAAATGGCATTTGTTGGCTATCCCTGTGTATTTATAAATACCAGGGGTGATTTATAAAAACTGGAGCAAAAGTTGTGCTGCTGATCATAGCAACCATCCACACTTACAGTATCTCACAGAAGAGAGTGCACCCCTCACATTTTTGTAAATATTTTATTAACCTTTCATCTGACAACACTGAAGAAATGACACTTTGCTACAATGTAAAATAGTGAGTGTACAGCTTGTATAACTTTAAATTTGCTGTCCCTCAAAATAACTCAACACAGCCATTAATGTCTAAACCGCTGGCAACAAAAGTGGGTACACCCCTAAATGAAAATTGTCCCTCCCTGGTGTCATGTGACTTGTTAGTGTTACAAGGTCTCAGGTGTGAATGGGGAGGAGGTATGTTAAATTTGGTGTTAATCACTCTCTCATACTGGTCACTGGAAGTTCAACATGGCACCTCATGGCAAAGAACTCTGAGGATCTGAAAAGAAAGAATTGTTGCTCTATATAAAGATGGCCTAGGCTATAAAAAGATTGCCATGACCCTGAAACTGAGCTGCAACACGGTGGTTTAACAGGACAGGTTCCACTCATAACAGGCCTCGCCATGGTCGACCAAAGAAGTTGAGTACACATGCTCAGCGTCATATCCAAAGGTTGTCTTTTGGAAATAGACGTATGAGTGCTGCTAGCATTGCTGCAGAGGTTTAAGGGGTGGGGGTCAGCCTGTCAGTGCAGACCATACGCCGCACACTGCATCAAATTGGTCCGCATGGCTGTCGTCCCAGAAGGAAGCCTCTTCTAAAGATGATGCACAAGAAAGCCTGCAAGTAGTTTGCTGAAGACAAGCAGATTTAGGACATGGATTACTGGAACCATGTCCTGTGGTCTGAGGAGACCAAGATAAACTTATTTGGTTCAGATGGTGTCCAGTGTGTGTGGCGGCAACCAGGTGAGGAGTGCAAAGACAACTGTGTCTTGCCTACAGTCAAGCATGGTTGTTGTAGTGTCATTGGCTGGGGCTGCATGAGTGCTGCCGGCACTGGGGAGCTACAGTTTGAGGGAACCATGAATGCCAACATGTACTGTGACATACTGAAGCAGAGCATGATCCCCTCCCTTCAGAGACTGCACCGCAAGGCAGTATTCCAACATAACCCCAAACACACCTCCAAAACGACCACTGCCTTGCTAAAGAAGCTGAGGGTAAAGGAATGGACTGGCCAAGCATGTCTCCAGAACTAAACCCTACTGAGCATCTGCTGGGCATCCTCAAACGGAAGGTGGAGGAGCTCAAGGTCTCTAACATCCACCAGTTCCGTGATATCATCATGGAGGAGTGGAAAAGGGCTCCAGTGGCAACCTGTGAAGCTCTGGTGAACTCCATGCCCAAGAGGGTTAAGGCAGTGCTGGAAAAGAATGGTGGCCACACAAAATATTGACACTTTGGGCCCAATTTGGACATTTTCACTTAGGGGTGTACTTGTTGCCAGCGGTTTAGACACTAATGGCTGTGTGTTATTTTGAGGGGAAAGCAAATTTACAGTGTTATACAAGCTGTATGTTTACAAACATGTGAGGGGTGTACTCACTGCTGTGAGATACTGTATGTTTTTCAGAAATTGAAACTATTAAAGTATAACTAAAGGCAAAACTTTTTTTTTTTATATGTAGTTTTGAATAGAGTGAAGAGGGATTAGAACACCTGTCAAGTTTTTATTGCTGTCTGTGCCCCTGTTAAGGAGTTTCACCCTCTATTTGTCCTGTTCACCATTATAATTGAAAGTGAAAGTAAAAGAAAATCCCAAATGTATTTGTTGTTCCCAGAAAAGTAATAGAGAGGAATTCTTCTAATGGGGACATTAGTTCTGGTGACCTGGGGGTCCCCAAGGAATTCCCTTAATTAGCAGGGATTGCCTCACACTTCCTGTCTGGCTATGGGAAAGTAAGTAAAGGGAAAGTTAGGCCTATAGTTCTGTTTTAAACCTTAGGTGTTTAGGGCAGCAGATCCATTTGTAATGTATTTTCTTAAGGCTCCATCTGCATGTATAAAAGTGAAATTATAGTTATAGTGAGTCTAGTCTGTCGAGTTACCCTCTTGACTAGAACACCTCCTGGGGCAGAAGATTGGCTTGATTCTGGTTGCTCCCACTCCCCTTGGACGCTCAACCTTTTCTTTAGGTGTGCAGCTTAGTGCTTTTGGTTCTGTGATGTAGTAATTTGATAAAATGATGCTGTGTTTTCCTCTAGATGAGATTCATCACGTACAAGCTGGCACTAATGATGCGAAACAAGAGATCCAGCAGCTGCGAAAGGAACTCTCCGAAGCTCAGGATCTAGCCAAAACTAGCCGACAGAAATGCTTAGAACTTCAAGGTGAGATTGGGGTTCATAGATGAGATTTTGTTCTTACCACATCTACTTGGATCACAGCCTCCTTACAGTGACAAGTTTTACTCTTACCTCCTCTTTGCAGCGTTTCCACCATTTTTAGGTCTGTGAAGGCCTGAGCAAATATAATTATGGTAAAAGCCCCACTCTTCTGTTAGATATGTGGGTGGAACAGAAATGTCCAAGTATAAGCGGTGAAGGAACTGAATTTTTTATCTTGGAATAAAGAAGATGTGTGTATTTTTTCCATCTTTTGACATTCTAACACAGATTTTGTTTGCAGCACTCCTAGAAGAAGAAAGAAAATCCAGTAGAAAACAGGCTGAAGATTCCACCAAGCAGATCCAGAACCTCCAAGGTATTCAAGATATTTTTGCTTGATCCACGCCAGAATAAAGTCAATAAAATTTAGAATTCTAATTGTTGATATAGCAAGTAAGTTTTAGCTTGTCTGAACTATCACAAAACAATAGTGCAGTGCTAAGATAAATTAAAATGTATGTGCAATACAATAGTGCAATGCATATATATCAAACTCTTAGTGTCACCAAAAATCGAAAAAAAAAAAAAAAAAGGAATCCAAATGTGAAGCCAAAAACTGTGAATTCAGTGCTTCTTCGATTATGAGGGAAATGATAGATGTGTATACCACATACCACCAAAACTTCTTAATGATGAACCACATAGTACCTTGGTGTACAACAAAGGGAGGCTTACCAGAATCGTATGACCCCCCCCAATTAATAGTGATCAGCCAGCACTTGTGGTTTTGAAGAAAGCTGGATATATTGGATTGATACACTTGTCAATGATGGTACTGCTGCGTTATATCAGATCACTGTGCATATACTCAGTTGGACATAGTATTCTGTAAAAGAAAAAGACAGGCTCTCCATAGTGTAATCCAGATTAAAACACCAGTTTATTGTGATAAATTCACTTACAATGAAAAGATGACAAGCAGGCACTTCATATCATATAAACAACTCATATTCCAGAATCCAAGATGGCTACAGCGGGATCACGTATGCGTAGTGGCGTCTGTGCCGTCTCTGCCCTATAAAGATGTTAGAAAAAGCTATCTTTATATGTGCTGTCAAGTCTGATGAGACCCCTGACCAATGCAACTCCATTGGTCAGTGCAATATCTTTAGTGTGCCAGGTATTCCTTTGGGTGATTAGAGAGCAATGTGAAATAAAGAGTTTTCACTTTCTTTCTGACATTCTTCCTGATTTTGGATAGGAAAATTTCACGCCTTATATTGTCATGTTTTTTAACTCTCTACATTACAATTGTTTGTATTGTGCAACAGCTTGTTATCTCTTAATTTATGAGTTTGCATTAGGGATGTTGATTGCAATTTACTATTCAAAAGAGTTATTTACCTTTTTTTATTTCCATGCCTGATGGCTCCAATAGCTTTCTGAGGATAGTTGGATTTGCTAGTCTGCTCTTATTGACCTCTTGCATAATAATTGGACACTATATATGTAAACATGAAAGCTTGGCTCATGTTAAACATGCACGTTTAAACGTATGGGGCTTGGTAGTCAAGGCAATCACAGATTTTAAGAGCTGACTTCTCTTGGAACAAGGTGGGTTATTAAACTCTTTCCGATTGTCTTTGTACATTTTCTCATAGGCATAGGATTCTTCTGAAGGTGCAGATCATGCATTCTCACACTTTGCTTTTCTGAGGGTTTAACATGATAATTAATAGTCACTATTTCTATTGATTCAGCTCAGTTGCATAGGTTACAGGAAGAGATTGAAATCCTGCGGGAACAGAAAGAAAATGAGATCTCCAGCACCCGGGAAGAGCTGATGAATGCCCAGGAAGAGATTGCCATCTTGAAACATGTTTCTGAACAGGTAGCAAATGAGAGAGAAGGTGACATAAGTGAGCTTCAGGGTGAACTGCAGGAGGTGCGCCTTGAGCTGGAACACTGGAAGAAAACTGCCTCTGAGTACGAGAAAGAAATTGTATCTCTGCAGGCCAATTTCCAGACCCAGTGCAAGGATCGGGAGGACCAGCAGAAAAGTGAATCAGCACGGTGGCAGGGTATGTACTATTGTCATAACTTGCATCCTAAGCCATGTAAACATTGATGCACACATCCTAAAAGTGCTTGTCCTCTTCTAAACTCCACATTCTGTATTTTTGCTACTCCGCCTTAGTTTGCCAAAAAGCAGTGTCCTTGTTATTTCTTTTGAAATAAACTGACAGAAAAGACCATCATTTCTTTCCTTTGTAGCCTACTAATCCGATAAATCTCCATGAAATGGCATTAAACAAAAGCATACAAGTTTGTTTATATTGAGAGAGCTATGGTTGCTACACAGCTGTACTACAATGGACGAGTGAGCGATGGCATGTAATTTGGAGAATTACCAATTGAACATAAAGGGAATATTATCTTAGGACTAGTAAGATGAAATATATAACATTTTTGTTTTTGTGCTTTAAAGTTCATTGGCCAAATAGCCTCCAGTGTGGACTGAATGCAGGAGCCATTTAGGCTACCCACAGGGGTAAAAAAAAGTTCACTCTCCTTGATTTATCCCTTTGGCCACTCAAATGTCACTTAGATCTGTACATTTTGGATCCATGACCATCCTTTTTTTTTTTTTTTTTTTTTTTTTTTTTTTTAAAATATTGAATTTTTTTTATTTACAATGAGCTACAAAAGTTTACTTATTACCACATTCTTGCTGAGAGATTGTTCAATAAGTTTTATTAAAATAGAGTAAAAGTTTTTACTTACGTATATGCTTGCCTTCTCTTCCAAAGCTGAACTTGAGGAGCTCAAACAAAGTGTCTCTTCTCTGGAGACCGAATGCAGGGCTCTGCAGAAGGAGAACAAAGTGCTGACTGAAGAATGCCAGAGGATCGATGGTGAGCTTCACAGGTATGGGCAGATCTAGAACATTAACATTTTGAATTGTTTTGTCTCTTGTCAAAAAAAAAAAAAAAAAAAAAAAAATATATATATACATATACATACACACACACAGCAGATAAAATAAGTATGAACATGTCACCATTTTCCTAGGTATATTTCTAAAGGTGCTATTGACATGAAATGTTCACCACATGTCGGTAACAACCCATTGTATCCATACATACAAAGAAACCAAAACAAATAAGTTCAGAAATGAAGTTCTTTGTTATAAAATGGAATGACACAGGGAAAAAGTATTTAACACACGAACTGAAATGTATTTAATACTTTGTACAAAATCCTTTGGTAATGACAGCTTCAAGACTCCTCCTGTATGGTGAAACTAGTCACATGCATTGCTCAGGTGTGATTTTGGCCCATTTTTCCACACAAATAGTCTTCAAATCGTGAAGGTTCTGTGGACCACTTCTATGAACTCTGATTTTTAGTTCTTTCCATAGATTTTGTTTTGGATTAAAGTCAGGTGATTGGCTGGGCCATTATAGCAGCTGTTTTATTTTCTTTCTTTGAAACCAATTCAGTCTTGCTGAAATGTCCACCCTTGTTTCATCTTCTTCATCTTGGTAGATGGCAGCAGATTTTTATCGAGAATGTCTCGGTACATTTTTACATTCATCCTTCCTTCAAAGATATGAAGTTTCATGCTCCCAACTTTGTAGGAACAGTTTGGGGATGGCTCCTTCCTCTTCCAACTTGACTGGCCTGCACAGAGTCCTGACCTCAACCCAATAGAACACATTTGGGATGAATTAGAGCGGAGACTGTGAGCCAGGCCTTCTTGTCTGACATTAGTGCCTGACCTCACAACAAATTTGCTTCTGGAAGGATGTTCAAACATTCCCATAGACCCACTCCTACACCTTGTGGACATCCTTCCCAGAAGAGTTGAAGCTGCAATGGGTGGGCCAACTCAGTATTGAACCCTATGGACTAAGACTGGGATGCCAATAAAGTTCATGTGTGTGTGTAAAGGCAGGTGTCCCAATGCTTTTGATAATATAGTGTATATTTACTTAAAAAAATTATGACGTGTTCAATATTTATTTTACCTGCTGTATATTTGTGCATCTGTGCCTGCATTATGGTTTTAATGAAGGGTTGATATTATCAAAGGGGTTGATTAATTCACACATCTGCCCAGTTATTAGACTTTCTTACTTTATTCAAGTGAGGCTTAAACATTTTTAGTACAGAGCTATTCTAGGATTTGGCTCCTAAATTTATGGCCAGGCTTTAGCTTCAGTTGCATCACATAGTGCTGTCATAGTTCACTTTAGGAGCTTGCTGACTGTCAATTTCTTAGAGTAAGATGGTGAGCCTCTTTAAAGCAAGACCAACAACTTATGGAGTTTTCCTCAGTTCTTATTTATCATTGCCCTATTCGTGAAAATCAGCAGCTCTATCGAAAGCAGCAGTGCACTGCCATACAGCAGATTTACTGCTGTATGGCTTCCAAGATTAATTTCCTTTGTCTTCAAAGATAATACAGTTATGTATTTAATATGTGATAAATATTTAAAAAAACTTATCAATTGTTAATAAAATATATTGGAATGTATTAAAAACAAAAAAAAGGGGTCTCCTTTGAGATACCATTAAAGTTCTTATTTTTACAGTATCAAAGATAAATTTTCATGACGTTAAAACAATGTTCAAATTATTTGTATGAAGGTACCAATAGAAGGATATCCAATACCTACAATGTACAGTGAGGCCACATACTTGCCTGTGCTTTCTAGCAGAAATGCTTGGGATCATTGGGCTTTCTTTTAACAAGAAAACAGTTCATGAATATGGAACATAAATATATGTTTTTAAAACTTGTGAGCTGTATTTTGGGAGGTTGGTCTTAATCTTTTGCGGCCAGATGTTCTACAGCCAAATTTCAGAGCCTAAAACAGATTGTTTAGATGTTAACTTTTTTTTTTTTTTAAATAATGTGGCCTACTTGGTATGTAGTGAAGGCTACAATGGTGAGGTAAACTAACTGAATATAGCCAGTCAAATTTCACTGCAATTAAATGCTTATTGCTTTTTCATGGTTTGCTTCTTGTGTGTGTGTTAAACCCTCACTGATTTTATGCCCTCCACTTTGAATATCCTATTCACATGGATTAATTATTTTTCTTTTCTATGCCAACCATTGCCTGTCTGTATACTTTGTAGTTCCCAGAAGCAGTCCCAAGACCTCACAAGTGACCTCGGTCTCTTGGAAATCACTCGGAAAGAGCTTGAAAGCCAAGTTGGCTGTCTGAAAGAGCAGAATCTTCAAGAGGCAGGCGACCTAAAAACGCAGCTGAAAGAGGCAGAGAATCGTGCACACAGCGTTCAGCAAGAGGTGAGACGGTACAGTAGTGAGCACACAGTACTTAATGCATTGAAGGATGAGAGAATTCAAGAGCCATACAGGTCCGTGAGATTCTTCAGGCAGCTGAGGACAGGGATAATCCATCCAAATCTACGTCTGTGTTCATCCGTTCATCTGGCTGTATGGATCTGTCCAAATTTTATATAGTACGTGTGGAACTGATTACATAATATCATGAAGCCCTGCTGAATAAAGCATGGAAGTGATTCTTTTAAAGTTTTCTTCTTTAAAGGTTGATTCCTCCTTTAACACAAAAATAAAAAATACACACATATTTGCTGGGAAAATGTGCATATATTTATTTATTTTGCAAAGCATTGCTCCCGCGATCAGTGGATTGCAGGTGCAATGCCCGGCTTCTGCTGACTCTCAGCGCTCTGTCTTTACTGTGGTACAGATTTTCAGTTGGAGAGCTGGAGAAAGTGTCAGTGGCTTACTTTTACGGTGACTACTGTACTCATGTTCCAATGAGAACTACAAGTCCATCTGCCATTGTGGCAGAAGAGATTGTAGTTTATTTAATCGCAGATTTTTGTGAAGAAATGATTTGTCTGTTCTGGTGGACCCCCCTACTGCTGCGCCTATCGCAAAAGTGATAGCTGCTACAGAGAAGGAGAAACTCCACATGCTGTCACAGGGCTGGGCAGTTTGAGGGTTGAAGTGGTCCATGTTACATTTTACACTGTAAATATAGGTGTAAAATGGCGCAAAAGATGTTAGCCCAGTTTGCTTCTAAGCTTATAAATGCCCTCCGTTTAATTTGATAAAACACAAAAAAATGTATGCAATCCCCATTTATTCTCCAGTCCTACATGTGATGAAAAAAGGAGCTGATATATTATCCAGTAGGATATTAACTTTGCTTGTTTAAAGAGTTAATCATAATGATGTAGTTGTGATGGTGTTGGAGGAAACTTTGTGGCTCCCACCAGTTATCTTTAAAGCTGAATTCCTGAACTGTCAGATGTAAATAAGAGATGCTTCCAGGAGGTGACACATATATTATTTGACTCAACTTTTTACAAAGGCACTGAATTCCTGGAGCATTTACCAAAGATAGGCTACATTTTTTTCACATAATAGGTTTCCTTTTAAAAATGGCTTTGCTAACTTTTTTTTTTTGTAATGAAAAGGTATAAGTTCAAAAGCTGTAATTTGAGATGCCATTTGCAGTGTCACCTCTGCTCTATTAGTTGCATTATTGTTGCCTTATTGCATTTTTTCTGTATGCAAATGTTTTACATACCCTGTACCAATACTCAAAATCCCAATAAAAAAATTTAGGAAGTAATCTTTCTTGGTGTGTGACTGACCTAGAATAGGCATGTCCATATCCAGTGTTGGGACACCTGATATGCTTATTCCTGTTATGGGTCAGTGACTCACTAAATGGCAAGTCAAAGGTTAGCAATATCAGCCACCATATTTATGACCTGGTAGTTTTCCTTTTAAAGTAGCCTTTTAAAAACTTGCTTACAATTTTAAGTTTCAATCATTAAAATAATGCTTGCAGAATAGACCACTGTGATCCTTTAATTGACCCTGTTATGAGAAAGGAGCCTCTGGTAAAAAAAAAAAAAAAAAAACCTATTGAATGCACATGTTTCTGGCAGTCAGTGAGTCCACTTTTCACTTTCTTGCAGAGATGTGGGTGGTACTGTTGTCCAAAAATTTTAGGTACGTTTCATTCCTGGACCCTGCTGTACCCTGTGGTTCCTTCCACCTGCTGCTAGGTTGCTACAGGACACATAAAGACATGGTAGCCCATGGAAGGAATAACTACCATGGGGAGTGGGCATTGGTCATCCAATACACCAGGAAAGTTAGGATCAACTTGGCCTTGTGCTTAGGGTCATTGTTGTTTTGGAAAGTCCAAAGAGTGTCCCATGCTCAGCTTTGATGCAGAAGAATGAAAATTGTCTGCTAGTATTTTCTGATAACATGCTGAATTAATCTTGCCATTCATTTTCTCAAGATTCCTGTGCCTTTTAAAGCTCACACACCCCCAAAACATCAGTGAGCCACCACCATGCTTCAGAATGGGAATGGTATTCTGGTCGCTATAGGCCTTGCTGATCCCTCTCCAAACATAGCTCTTATAGTTGCGTTCCAGATTAGTGTGTGCCAGAAGCTGTGAGGTCTGTCAAGGATTTGTCAGGCATATTGTAACCAAGTTCTTTTGTGACATTAGCGCAGTAAAGACTTCTTTCTGGCAACTTGACCATGCAGCTTATTTTTGTTTAAGTATTGTTGTATTGTGCTCCTTGAAACATCTATGTTGTCTTTTTCCAGAGCAGCCTGTATTTCTCCTGAGGTTACCTGTGAGTTTTTCTTTGTATCCCGAACAATTCCTCTGGCAGTTGTGTCTGCAGTCTTTCTCTGTCTAATTGACAGTGGCTTGGTATCAAGAGATACTCAAATTTTCCACTTTTAAATAAGTGAACACTTCTAACTGGCATATTCAATGCTTTGGATATCTTTTTATGTCCTTTTCCATCTTTATTAAGTTCCATTACCTTGTTACGCAGGTCTTTCAATGTTTGTGTTCTGTTCCCCATACATCATTATCTAGCCTGCACAGTGCATCCATGTGAAAGCTAACAAACATATTGACTATTTATACATTACACTAATTGCAATTTAAAAAGCCACAAATGTGAGAAATTAACCTTTAATTGCCATTTTAACCTGTGTGTTTGTCACCTTGTGTGTCTGTACCAAGGCCAAACATTCCCCAGGGTATGGTAACCTTTGATCAGGGCCATTTGGGTGATTTTTGTTGTTATGATTTAAAAAGGTGCCTAACAACTATGTGATAATGGTGTGTGTATATGTGTGTATATATGTATAATATATCATTTTGAGTAAGGCATGTTGACTTTTCCGCTCTGTTTTTGCAGTACGAGGACACCCAGAATAAGCTGTCTGAGCTAAAAGTGACATTTGAAAAGACAGAACAAGAAAAGCAAACAATGGTGGAGGAGCTAAAGCAATGTAAAGAGAACTTGAAGCTGCTGCAAGAGAAGGGGAATAACGTAAGTGTGTGTAATAGGTGCACACATACCAGTCTCTTGACTACTCTGTTACATTTAGGCCATGAGGTAACTGGCTTCTGAGTATAGGAGGAAAGTGACTTCATTACTGCCTGTTATAATTCATTTTTTCTGGTCTCAGGTCACGCAGCAAACCTGGCATCTCATCCAGTAATGCTAAATATGTCTTTTAGCTCATCATGGCTTGGTATATGCTGGCTCCCAGACTTTTCTATTTTCAGGATGCTGGTAATGATCCTGTGAGACAGCTCCTCTGTTTAATTGCCTGGCTGCAGAGGAATTGGTTTCCTTAAGTCAATAAATACTTTATTTTCCCTATAGAAATAGGAAGAGAGAGCCTGGCCGCTACACACCTTGCATGGCCTTAGAGTTTAGCAGGTAAAAGCACCCTCAGCTCAATTCATCCAAAAAATGCCCCAAACATGTTTTGCCCTGCCCCCGGGGTCTTGAGGAGCCTTTCCTCAGCCTGCACCCTCACTAGTTCGCTTCCAATTCACTGGACTTTGTTAGCCTGAGCAGGGACCACTAAGCATTTATCGTCGTCCACTTTCTTTTGCCTGTTGAATATAAACATGCAATATACTTTTTTTTTCTTCTAATTAATAAGTGAAATCACTGGCCATTTTTAGGCTTAAACTTACCATGCACATCCTATAGCATGTTAAAAGTTCAAAATTAAGTTTAATTTGAGGATGTTCAGATGAGGATGGATGGAGGATGAGTAGATATTTTAAGTTTAATTCATAAATTGGTCCCACTGTTCTTTGAAAAATGGAAACAGTAGCTTAAAGTGAACTTGTGCTCAGGTTATGCACTTTATAGTATTTATATAGGTATACATATTCTGATCAAGCAGCAAAAGCACTTTTAAAGTGGCAGTAAACCGTGCCCTTAACAACAATCCTCTGCAAGGAAATGGCATAATGTGCTAATATGCATCGCATACTAGCACATTATGAAGTACTTCTCCTTGAATGAAGCCCTTCAGCAGTGTACTGTCACCGCTGACAGGGCTTTCATCTCCACCCATTGTTCTTTCAGGATTTGCAGGCTCCAGCAACTGGAATGGCCAGACCACAATGAGTCACAGGCCACAGCACAGCCCGGTATGCCGTTCCTTCAGAGCAGATGTGCTGGTGAGGTCACCGGCTGCCAAAAAGGCAAATATCTCCTAAACAGTACATGTTTAGGGAGATATTAATTTTAAAAATCACAACATGGACTTTACAGCTACTTTAAACATAACCTCATTTCCCTCTGTAGTTGTAGGCATTTTAGATTATTTTCAGTGACTAAATTATGATCTTGAAGGTCAATTTAAGGATAAGTTCACCTTTTGGACAAAAATAATAAATGCAGATTTTTGTCGCAGATAAAGAAATGTGTATTTATTATTTTTGTCCAAAGGTGCCTTTTAAAGCATTTCTCCAGCGATCAGTCCTGCTAAGGCTGTCGGGACTTTTATGCACTCATTCACGGAACACTGATTGAGTGACGTGGCCATAGCCCCGCATGGCTGCGCTGTTTTCAAATCTGACAGATAGATAGTATGGGAAAACTTCTCCCCATACTGTCAGAGGGAGTTGGGGGGTAGTACAGGGAAAGGTTTCTCCATACTATCTGTCAGAGGGAGGGGACAGTGGGCGTGGCTGCAGCTATAGGAACATGTTCCACCCTAGAAACTGTTTACCCATTTGTGGACAGCAGAATCTTGTTAGCCTATCAGCCATACAAAGTAAACACACAGCAGGTGTTTGTCTTTCAATGGACAAATAACACAGTATTGGTGGCTTTACATGAGATGAAAAATTGTTCAAAAATCTGTCATTTGGACAGTTCGTTTGCTTTTCGTCCAGTTAATGGGCACAAATCGAAAAATAGTAGTGACATTTTTGAGCCAAAAAAAAATTGAAGGAAGTGTTTGGAAACCCCTGCCAAATGGACTATAAATTGAAAAGTCAATGTGGTTCTCGCCCATTAAAAATTGAACTGTTCGTACTGTGTATACGTGACAAAACGAACAAAAACTGATTTATGCCCATTGAATGATTTATTGTTTGAAAATTGGACTAATGTATGGCTAGAATTAGTCTTTGTCACTGTCCAATGCCTCTCTAGGCAGCTGTGTAATTCAAACAAAAACCTGTGAGCCAGCTCAGGATAACACATCCTACTGTTAGCATGCCTCAGTTTTTTGGTAATATCCTAGGCAAGTGGCCCTTCAACAATTTTCTTGAACTCTGCTGAGTGGCAGACTAACCTGTGTTGGCTAGAGCCTTTGGTTCCCCACTCTTCAAGATTTTTGTTCTTCTTTCTAGACCTTTCTAATCTAAGATACTTAAATTTATTGTGCCTTACCACAATGCATTAGCTACAGCTGATTCTGGACACGGGGTTGGGCACAGTCTGACTGTAGTGGGTACCCCCAGCTCACAATCTGTTAACAGTTATGGGGCTCCTTGCAGCTCACCTACTGATGTTGCCAACATCTGCATCCTGGAATATTGGAATCCCATTCCATCATCTGAGTCCTCTTCAGCTCCATTGGGTGTGACCAGATCCTCTGCCCATTCAGCTGAGGTTTTTACTACAGCTATGCAAGACTTTGTCCTAAAGCGGAGTTCTGGTCTCAAAAGAAAAAAAAAATTCAAAGTCAGCAGCTACAATATTTGTAGCTGCTGACTTTTAATATAAGAACACTTACTTGTCCGTTGATGTACGCATCCGAGCCAATTTCCTCTTGACCTTCGAGGGACAGTGTCTCTCAGATCCACTCTTGATTTCATTCACACCAACATTACTGGTGGCAAGAGCAAATATCTTTGGAAGAAGCCACCTAAAGCACAGACTGCAGTCGTCTCCCTCTTTATCATGAAACATCCCTTTAATTTCTTCACTATTGTGTCCTCCACATTGAGACCCCCTCCCCGTTTTCCCCTTCAAATTTGACTTCCAGTCCATCCACAAATCCTGGGGCTCAAAGTCTAATAAATACTCAGAGAAACCTTCCTTGGCATGAAGGTGCATTAACCTTTGCAGTTAGTTGGATGGCTTGCATCTCAGACGTTTGTATCCCTGGGAAACCCCCTGTAACCAAAGTGGACTTTCACTTCTTGTCTCACCTGATGCCAGCTTCAGGCATAAGGTCCTTCATGCATTTTGAACTGCACAGAGTCCCCAGTTCTATGTTGGCTCCTTGGGCCTGTTAGTGTTTACTGTGTTAGACTTCAATTAAAAAGCTTTTGAATGTTCTTAAAGTGAAAGACTTCCTGTGTTCCTCAGTGGACAAGAAAAAAAAATAGGATTTTTTACTCCCCTTAACATGTTTTGCTTGGAGTTTGAGGGACACAGGTCCCACTCCTTTGTGTTTTTAGTTTACAAAACTGAGTAATGCTGGTAGTAGGAGGGTTTTCTTTCAGATAAAAACCAAGCAGCTGAGCTGCCTGATGACTTACTACTGCGTACCTGCAGCATCAAGACTGACCCCCACAATCCAAAATATAGTAAATGATCCAAGGCTGCCGCACATCCATCCGAAAGCTTGCTGAAGGGACACTTTAGTTTACTGAAGATGGAATATTTTTATACATGTAACTGATGATGTAACTTTTGGAAGAAAAGATATGTAACAGCCTTAAAATATATATGTGTGTTTGTTCCTTTTTAAACCAATTTTAATTGTTGATTAACAGATGCACACTTGTAGACCTAGAATATTGCATTTGACACATTTCAGTTTTTCATTGGTTTTCTGTTTTAAATCTCACAGCTCAAATGTTTCATGGCTATACAGTTTGAGCCATGAACAAGCATGCAGTAGGTGCTTGTACCAGGATATGAAACTTTGTGTTTGTGCTTTTTGTTAGTTATTTATGAGTGGTAGAAATCTGTGTGTTCTCTTTGCATGTTGGATAAAATGTGCCAACCTTGATGTGAAATGCATGCAAGTCCACATGCCCCTGTGTGGCTTGTGCTTAGAAAACAAAAAACACCAAATAAAAGTTAATGTTCACAACACAGAGCTGCAACACTTACAAGAATCTGGTTCCTCTGTCTGCATGTTACATGACTCTCCTGTCAATTTATCTCCAAGATATAAGAGGTGGACTATAGTATGATTTTGTCATCTAGATTATTTGCCCAATTTGTTCCTAATGTCATGAACACATGCTAAAATCAGTTAAAAATTCATGTTTACTCTGGCATTGTGTGCCTGAAAACTTGACCAAGCTTTGCTATATAGGAAAGCTTTTCTAACAATCCGATATATTTGAACACATTTTTTTTGCCCATAATAGTAATGATTTTTAAAAAAAAAATCAGTTAAAAACCCCTTTTTACATTTTTAAGGGTTGTGTACATGAAATCAAAACCCAATTTTGCTATAGGAAATATGTTATAACATTTATATGTATATGAACACTTTCAGTTGGTTACAGTTGAAATGTCTAGAAGTTTGTTCATTTATGTCTCTAATTATGTGCCATTTCTTTCAGCTCTAGAGGTTATCTAGGTACTTTATAGCCCTGGTACTTGGCATTGTGGGATATTACAGGCACTAAGGAAACATTTGTTATGTGTTTTAGCTACTGACCATAACTTTTATCACAGCTTCCAATTATATTCTATTGAGATCTAACTAACCAGTAGAATTTTAAACCCCAAACATCTAACACAATATAAAACTGAGAAGGTAAGAAGCATGTCAGTGTTTAGTGTTAAATTATTTTAAGTTTTGAATTAGCAAGCTAAATTTTTAAAGCATATCAAAACCCAAAAACACAAATATTCTATATTACAGCTTACCCGTGTTTAAATGTTGACTACATTTTGTTTTGTTTGTTTTCACCCAGTGATCCTGCCAGTAAGGCTGCTTTCACACTGACAATTGTGGGTTAGTGTGGTTTTTAAAATCCTTCCCACTGCTTTTTTTGGTGCAGGTTTGATGCAGTAAAAAAAACCCCAAAAACCATTTACCTCCCCATTGAAATCAATGGAAAACGCAGAAAGACCGCAGTGCGTTTTTGGTACGGTTTTTCATTCACATATCCGGTAAAATACGGCAAAAATGCATGTTGTTTTTGCCGTGGTTTATTACGAAAGTAGCTTTTCAGTCCTTGGATTATGATACCTGCTCACCATTCTGAATCAGGACAGCAGAAACAAGATAGGAATATGAGACCTATCTAACCCTTATAGCCGGGATAGTGATACGTACTCTTTATTGAACGATCAGGGGTCTGTAATACCCCAGATCTCTCATCTGCCCTATAGTGTATCAGATAACAAAAAAAAAAGTGAAAGGGCAACTTTTAAAGGACCCTTCCACATCCTGTAAAATTGTGTGACTGCAGAGCCACTCAGTTCACTTTTACCTGTAGATTTTGAATGAACATTTGATGATATGACCAAAATCAAATGTTAAAAGCAAACTATTTTGATGAAATTTTGAACTTTGGAGTGAATGGACTTTCCTAGACGAACACCACATCCATTGTTAGAAATTCATTTGTTCGAGAAAAATGTTCTGCGTCTCTAAGTTTTCTTGTTACTGTGATCAAAAAAAAAAACATTGTTTTGAACCCAATAACGATTAAAAAATTGAACAAACATTCTGGAAGCAAAATTTTCAAAGTTCTACTAGTGTATGACCAGAAATTATGATCTCAAGGAACTAATTAAGAATCAGATTAAGCCTGCTCACACTAAGCTCCTGTCTTAGTTGAAAGGGCTAGAGCATTCATTGGCCACTAAAGCCCAAACAAACCTTTGGAGAGGAATAACTGGTTAACTAGCAGGGAAAAGACGGAGCACATTACGAAGTTCACACTAGGGAGCGTGTATACAGTTAGGGCCAAGTGGTGCTCTTTTAAATTATTAGCACATTACGAAGTTCACACTAGGGAGGGTGTATGCAGTTAGGGCCAAGTGGTGCTCCTTTAAATTATTAGCAGAGATCAGACCTTTCTAAACCAGTAGATGGTGAGACAGGACATTAGCCCCTTTATTTCAAAATATTGTGTTAGATGTTTTTTTTTTTCTATTTGATTTCCTTTGTGTATACAATGGGGAAAATAATTATTTGGTCCCCTGCAGATTTTGAAGTTTTGCCCACTTATAAAGAAATGAAGGGTCTATCATTTTTATCATAGGTGTATTTTAAATGATGAGACAGAATATCAACCAAAAATCCAGAAAAAACACATGATACAAATGTTATAAATTGAGTTGCAGTTCGGTGAGTAAAATAAGTATTTGATTCCCTAGCAACCAACAATAATTCTGGCTCCCACAGACTATGTGCCCATGTGGTACACAGATTAGTCCTGTCAATTTAAGAAAGTGCTGCTAATGACAACTCGTTATGTGTATAAAAGCACCTGTCCACAGAATCTCATTCTTCCTCACCATCATGGGCAAGACCAAAGAGCTGTCAATGGACCTCAGGGACAAGATTGTAGACCTGCACAAGGCTGGAATGAGCTACAAGACCACCAGCAAGAAGCTTGGTGAGAAGGAGACAACTGTTTGATGATTAGTTTGTTTTTCTTCCATTTGCAAATAATCAATCCATCATCCTTGGTCTGTAGCTCCATGCAAGATTTTGCCTCATTGGGGTAAGGATGATCATGAAAAAAACCTGAGGGGTCAGCCCAGAACTACACAGGAGGCGCTTGATCTCAAGGCAGTTGGGACCACAGTCACCAAACAAACCATTGGTAACACAATATGCCACCATGGATTGAAATTCTGCAGCACCCACAAGGTCCCCCTCCTCAAGAAGGCACGTGTACAAGCCTGTCTAAAGTTTGCCAATGAACATCTAAATATTTCGGATAAGGATTGGAAGAAAGTGCTGTTGTCAGATGAGAACAAAATTGAAATCTTTGTCATTATCTCAACTCGTCATGTGAGGAAGAAAACTGCTGACTATGACCCTAAGAACACCGTCCCTACAGTCAAGCATGGAGGTGGAAACATTATGCTTTGGGGCTGTGTCTCTGCTAAAGGTACAGGTTGACTTTATCGTTTTGAGCTGCCAATGAATGGGGCCATGTATTGTGAAATCTTGGATGAGAACCTTCTTCCCTCAGCCAGAACAGTGAAGATGGGTCATGGATGGGTCTTCCAGCATGACAATGACCTAAAACATACCATCAGGGCAACAAAGGAGTGGCTCAAAAAGAAGCCCATTAAGATCATGGCGTGGCCCAGCCAGTCTACAGACCTAAATCCTATAGAAAATTTATAGAGGGAGCTGAAACTGCGAGTTACAAAGCAACAGTCAAGAAACCTTAAGGATTTAGAGAAGATCTGTAAAGAAGAGTGGACCAAAATCCCTCTTGAGATGTGTACAAACCTGGTAACCAACTACAAGAAACATCTTACCTCAATGTGCTTGCCAACAAGGGTTCTCCACCAAGTACTAAGTCATGTTTTGCTTGGGGATCAAATACGTATACATTTCTTTGCAATTCAGTGAGTAAAATAACATTTGTATCATGTTTTTTTTTATGGATTTTTGGTTGATATTTTGTCTCATTTAAAATACACCTATGATAAAAGTTAGAGAGCCTTCAATTCATTGTAAGTGGGCAAACTTACAAAATCTGCCAGGGATCAAATAATAATTTTCCCCACTGTAAGTTGCAGGTGGCATTGATTGCTGTCCCATTACCAGCAAAATCAGTCTCGCTCTGTATTGATTAAAGCACCTGAGTGATTTCTAATATCCCTTCCCTTCTTCAGCCTTCTGCATTACTACCCGTCCCAGCCGTTTACTTTGGCGTAGTCGTGGCTATCCTGTATTGGTGTTACGGCCTGTTTTGGTAGAGAAAGGTACACGCTGCTCTTGTCTGTCCTTCACTCTCCACCTACATGTCCCATCCTTGTAACACTAATGCATGGTCAGGTAACAGGACAGGCTGTCCGCTGCCAGAGTGACTGAAATTTACTAACCATCTAACATCTGTCTGTCTCTTCCTGTGTGTGCTAAACTCTTACTTCTCTTCCAGTGATAATCCATCTGAGTGTATGGAAAAGCCCTCCACAGAGGGAAGAGCAGTGTTCAGAAAGGCTGCAGGTCAAAGTTTGAGCAGGTGTTCTCCATGTCTGTAAGAGCTGTTGCATAAGACATTGAGGTCTGGTGCAACAAAGCTGTTAGTCTATGAAGCATGAAGAGGTATTGAACTTAAAGGGATCTCCACTTTCAAAAAAGTAGGAAAGTACTTGCCCCTAAATGATGACCGGAGTATTTTCCCTCAGACTTCAACACAGTTTAACAGCAGAGACCAATGTAAACATTGGGGCTGCTTTTGTGTTGATGTTTCTTTGCCCATTCACAGAAAAGTAAAGCTTACACTTTATGAGTATTGTACTCCATAGGAAGTTGTGAGACTGGGGAAAAGAAGCCTTTTCTAAGCTTCAACTTACCTGTAGGTGCTTACACTGCGGTGTCCAGTCCTTCCCTTGCCTCATGTGAGAGTGCTGGGATAATTACGAGGCACCATTGTTGCCCCATGGAAGAGAGGGAGTCGTATGCTCACCTTGGATTGGTAGGTATTTCAATTCGCACCTGGTGGCTGAACAAAGCAGAGGAATAATGAAGATAAAGTTAGTATATGCTGTGGAGGAGCATTGGAGATGAGCAAACCTTTTACATTGGCCTGCATAGAGAAAGTAATACGTTGCTTCAAAATCCAATGATCCCTGCAATAGAAGAGCTTTTAAATTCTCTCCTCTCCAGCAAACCAGTGTCTCCCTGTCTTCCCCTCCATTTCAGCGCATCCTTAGTAATGTCAAATGCCAGTGTTACCAACAGAGATGCGGTTATATCTGACCATTGTTACTGCTATGTCTTCTGACACACTTTGAAGGGTTAAATTTCAAAGCGTGTTATGTAGGCAATGACACTGGACCAGAAAGGAGGTATGTATAAAAGCTCTTATGTTGCCACAGACCTTTGATCTTGTTTTTTTGTTTTAACCTGAAAAACTTGCTTTAATGTAAACCTGTACTTAAATTTTAAAGAAGTATAGCCAAAGCCTTTTGGCTATACTTCTCCCATGGATCACAAGAGTGCAGTTAGTTCTGCACTCCTGTGACCCATTTTCAGTCGACAGCCAGGCTAAAGCCTGCTGTCGGCTAACGTCACAGAGCTGGTCTGGGCTCTGAAGAGATCCCAATCATATGGTTGGGATCCACCCTGTACCAGCAGCTGGCTCAGCCTCTCAGCAAACAGCTGAGAGCCTGAGTTGGCCCCTCCAGCCCATTTCCAGTGATTGCTGGAGGAGCAGAGAGCTGGAGACTGACTGTCCCTGATCTCTGCTCAGAGTGGAGGAGAGAACTGAGCGATGTGTGGTGTTTGTCCTCCGCTGGCTCTGCACAGAGAACTGAGCATTCAGAGTCCGCATGACCTTGGTGAGTATAAGGTGTGTTTTTTTTTTTTTTTTCTCCCCAAAGCCCATACTTTTTTTACTATATAGCATTTAACATTTTTGCTGGAATGGATGCATAAAATTAGCAGTGAAAGCCCTTAAATACTTGCTTTTCTTTGAGATGTGTCTCCTGGTTCCCTTCAGTGCTGGCATCGTGTGTAAGAATGTGACTAGGGAACTTCATCATGTGTTCTCTGCTGCATTGAAGGATCTTTCAGGCCAAAGTTTGACCTCTTAATCAGAGATGTCTGACCAAGAAAAATGCAGCAACAAAACACTCCTGGCACAAATCTTTTCATTCTTCCTTCCTAAAAATGGTCAGATGGTGATCTTGGTCAACCGACTGTGGCTTAAGGAGATTGAAAATGGCCAGGATGAGAATTTGATCCTACGGCTGGGGTTATATTAATATAAAGCATTTGACCATTATTTCCTCTCAGTACTCGTGCATAGCATATATGGTGCATGCACCAATGTCAAATCTCCATACTTTTTCAATTCTTTCAGTTCATTCTCAGTTTTCGTGAGGACCCCATTCTGTGGACACTGCTTAAAAGATGTTTTAGATATATTTTTGAAAGTGGAAGATCCTATCAAATTTTGTTAATTTGCTTACCTTGTTCCACTACCTGTGCAGTTATTACTGGGAATCTTTTATTATTGATAGCAGTCACTGCTAAACCCAACTGGGTCTATCCACCTGCTGAAGCTATACCCTATGTAGCTGTGATACCTATCTTAGTAGGATGCAGGCATCTTAGTCTAGATTTTTTTCCCACTGTGCTGACAAACTGACTGCCTTTCTTAACACTCTTTTTTTGTAATCTTTGTAATCTTTTTCTTTTATACTCTACATGTCTATTGCAAGCAATTTACTTTCCGTATACTACAGAGGTGATAAAGTGAATGGCTGGGAATCATACTGAATGTGAAATAAGCAAAGTTATCTGTGTTTGTGCATGGGTGGTTTGTATTTGCAATGACTAATACAAACCTACTGTATATGTATATATATAACATGAATGTGTTTTTCTCTACAGGTGTAAGCATTTTAACTGCAGTGACAATGGGGAGGGGGGGGGGGGGGAATAAAGGAGTATATTAACTAATAGCAACCAATTAGCCATTGTCTTGAATATTTTGACTGATTTAAACTGATTTAAACTGCTGATTGGTTAATATGGCATACCAAACCTAACATTACACTTGGTACTGCATTGTTAAATAAAACCTTTTTAACCACTTCAATACCGGGAGCTTTCACCCTCTTCCTGCCCAGGCCAATTTTCAGCTTTCAGCGCTGTTGCAATTGCATGGTCATGTAAAACTATTAAATTTTTATCAATTTTTTTTTCACACAAAATAGCTTTCTTTTAATGCTATTAAATCATTACTGGGTTGTTTTTTTGGCTAAATTAACCAATACATTTAGTTAAAAAAAAGCATTTTTCTTTTTTTCCGTTATAAACATTTTGCAGGTAAATCTTTCTTCATAAATGTAGGCCACAAACTATGGTATATATAGCTGAACATTGATCAATTCTGATGTACTGATGGCATATCTAATTTCTTGAGGCCCAAAAACATCAGGACAGAACAAATATTCCCCAAACGACCCCTTTTTGGAAAGTAGACCATCCTAGATATTTAGTAAGAGGCATGGCAAGTTTTTTTAAGTTGTAATTTTTCTTGTCACATTTTTTGTAATTTGAAGACATTTTTAAAAATGTGTTTTTTCCCAATTTTTTTTTTACATACTGTCATCAGTGTAATACAGCATCATCATATAACTGGTTTGTGAGTAATCAGGGAAACTGACTGTTGACAGTATCTGCAAAAAATATATTTTTTTTAAATTGCTTTATTACTTTTTTCTTTTTTACTACATTTTTTTTCTTGATGTTCTCAACTTTTTTTTTCACTGTGACCAGAGCAATACAGTGTTAGCATAGTAAAACTGTACTAATCTGGGGGAAGTTATTTAAAAATTTTTTTTATTTTTTTTTACACTTTTTGATTGCTTATACCACTTGCACAAGCAACCATTTTTTTACTGAATGAAATTGATTCATTCAGTATGTACTATTATTGTTAGGTGTGATTGGCCACAACTAATCACAAGGTACAGATGGGCTGTGATTGGCCCTGTCTGCACCATGAGATCATTTTGACCAATCGCAGAGATCGACACAATAGTACACAATGGATGGCATGAATGAACCCATCCATTGTGTGCAATTGTCATGTGATTTGCTGTGATTAGTCACAGTGATCACATGGTACCAGCAGCAGCTTGTACACTGATTCATCATCCGCTGTGGCAAGTGGACACAGCAGGTAACAGATCATGCCGCAGCGTGGCCCAGGGAAGCACGTAAGGTGTGTTTCAGTGAGGACGTCATATGATGTCCACCCAGCCGTCATTTGACAATAGGCCAGGCGGGAACTGGTTAGTTATCTATCTACTCAACAGTGTACTTGGCTGTCTACGTATCCCCTGTACTTCTCTTCTAATTATTGATCTACTTGGTCATCTGCCTACCTACCTGTCAGTCCGCTGTCTACTTGCCCATCTGTGTCTATTTAATCCTTTGTCTTACTGGTGATTGTTTACTAAAACTGGAGAGTGAAAACTCTGGTGCAGCTCTGCATAGAAACCAGTCAGCTTCCAGGATTTGTTGCCAAAACTTAATTAAACATGCTGAAGTTAGAAGCTAATTGGCTGCCATCACAACTACACCAGATTCTGAGTGCACCAGTTTTAGTAAATCTCCTCTATTGTGTACTTGCCCATCTACCTTCCTGTCTATCATTTTAACTTTCCTTTCTTAGCATTGTGGTAAACAGTACATTTGTCTAATTCTAAATATGACACAAATGTTTCCCAGATTACAGCTACTAAGACTTATTTTCAGAGCTCCCTTAAGTTACATCCAGTCATGGTCTGTAAAAAGCTTTCTTCCATGCCTTGTCATTAATGTTTGTCTTCTACTTACAGAAACCGTGGCCTTGGATGACTGTGATGGCGGCATTGGTAGCCGTGACCGCAGTGATGCTGTATCCCAGCCTCAGCAGAGGCTCACCGTGAGACTGCTCATCAAAGCCATGTACTGTCCTCCATCGTAGCCAGCATCGCTCACATTTGGAGAACATACACACCGAAAAAAATGGATCCTTACTCTTCCTTTTTACCTCTTAAAAAGAACCCACAAGTCTCTGAGAGAACAGCAGTAGGGCCATTGCTTTAACCTGTAATATATGTAATAGTCCAGCAGGGGAATAAAGATATGACTTTATCTTACTTTAGGCAAGACTTTGCTTGCTATCTTTCATGTACCTGTTAAGTCTAGTTTGGTGGTATCAGAGATACTGTTATGGCCTTGAGCAGGCTTTTGG